AAGTGGCTTCTTTGCTGCTCTTCTTGGCCTCACTGTGCGTGCAGATGCTCTCACACTAACCTGCTGCCATTCCTGAGCAAGCTCTGCACTGGTTCCGTAGCTGACTCCTCAGGAGGAGACGGTCCTGGCGCTTGCTGGACACTCTGGGACGTCCTGAAGACTTCTTCACTGCAGTCGAACCTCTCTCCTTAAAGTTCTTGATGATCCGGTAAATGGTTCTTTCAGGTGCAATATTCTTTGTAGCAATTTCCTTGCATGTGAGGCCATTTTTATGCAAAGCGATGCTGGCTGCAGTTGTTTCATTGGAGGTAACCATTGCTAACAAGAACACAAAGCGCTTCTTCCCTCCTTTTACAGCAATCAGTCTGCTCTTACAATCTAATTAGTATGATAGTGATTTCACCTGACTAGTACTCATTCACACTTTCACATGTGCTGCTGATATGATTAGTCAATTAATGGTAGCTGGTCATTTTGTGTCAGGATCAAAAAACAGTGAAATTTGTGTTTTTGTGAAAAGTTCATTTTTTGGCCAATGAAGCTTTTAGCAATTATTTAAAAGGTCATCTTTATTTATATAGCACCTTTAAACAACATTAATGCTGACCAAGGTGCTTCACAGTAACACAATACAATGATAAAAATACAGAGTTTAAAATTTAAATCAACAGCTTAACCCATAAAACCAAATAAAAATCAGGAATAAGAATTGAACTCACTAAGATCAACATATCCAACAAATTATAAATAGGCCTGCGAGAAGAGATACGTTTCAATGATGATTTAAATGCAGATAAAGAAGATGATAACCTAACAGATTGAGGTAACGAATTCCACAGCTTAGGGGCTAATACAGAAAGGGCTCTATCACCTTTAGATTTCAAATGAGACGATGAGACGGTTAATAGATTATCAGAGGATGATCTAAGAGATCTCCGGGGTGAATATGGACAAATAAGGTCTGAGATGTAGACTGGAGCCAGACCATGCATAAACACAAAAGTTAAAACCTTGTACTCAATTCTAAATTTAACTGTTAGCCAATGTAAATGTGCTAAAATAGGACTGATATGCTCCCTCTTTTTCTTCCCCATTAAGAAGCGGGCTGCAGCATTTTGAACCAGTTGCAAACGAGAAAGGGAAAACTGGTTGACACCAGCATATAAAGCATTACAATAATCAAGCCTTGTTGAAATGAAGGCATGAATAACTGTCTCTAGATCACTAAAAGATAAAAGAGATTTCAGTTTACGTAAACCCCTAAGCTGGAAAAAGCCAGCTCTAACAACAAAGTTTATTTGCTTGTCGAATTTGAACTCTGAATCAAAAACAACACCCAGATTCTTTACATGAGTACGGATATTTGCTTGCAAGGGTCCTAAACTAGAGGACATGCCGTTAACCAAATGGGGGGAGCCAAATAGAATGACTTCAGTCTTGTTTTCATTTAACTGAAGAAAATTATCACCCAACCAGCTTTTGATGCCACCAGTTACACAAACAAGCAAGACGGATAAGGACTTTGACCCAGGTTTAATTGACATATACAACTGGGTATCATCCACATAATTATGATATGGGACCTTGTGAGACTCAAAAATGTAGCGAAGAGGGAGCATATATAAAGCAAACAAAATCGGGCCCAAGATGGAGCCCTGCGGCACCCCACCAGTAACAGAGGCAGGTGATGAATGAGACTGACCTATCTCCACAGAGAAACTCCTCGCAGTAAAATATGATTCAAACCAATCTAAGGCCGAATCACAAATACCAAACTCAGTTTTTAACCTGTTTAAAAGAATACAGTGATCTACTGTATTGAACGCCGCACTGAAATCCAACAGTACTAAAACTGCACAATTTCCATAATTCACAAATAATAACAAGTCGTTTACCACTCTTAACAAGGCCGATTCAGTGCTATGCTTAGATCTAAAACCACACTGAAAAGATTCCAATATATTATTTTCAATTAAGTAAGGTGATAATTGATTTAAAACAGCTTTCTCCAATACTTTTGATAAGAATGGCAATTTTGAAATAGGTCTATAGTTGTTAAAATCAGCAGGATCCAGATTTGCTGTCTTTAGCAGCGGATGAACCACTGAATGTTTAAAACAGGATGGAACTGAACTTCGTTGCATTGCATCGCACCGCGTAAACATAAAACCATGTTTGCTTTTGTGATCGGAGAAATGACAAACTACAAACGCTACTCTACACTGCTCAAAACTCGCTTGTAACACTCCAAAGAGAAAGGAAAATTGAAATCGCATCATATGACCCCTTTAAAATCAGCAGGATCCAGATTTGCTTTCTATTATTTTAAAATGCATGTGATCACTCTACACAATAATCTAGAAACAATGTGAATGAACACCACAACAGCTTAAGCA